GAAGAAAAAGTCTCTTGCCTCCTCGGCAGGTCCAGACTTTTCCCCGGGCCCCCTCCCGGCTAGCCGTGGCGCACTAACCCCTTCAGGCTGTGTTCGAGCCGACAACCCCAGTCCTCTCCCTGCGCTCCGACCAAAGCCTGAGCCTCAACTCGCAGCCCCGCCCGCCCCGGTGGGTGAGCACAGAAGCCTCTCGGGCTGGTGAGTGCCGGTCGGCCCCGATCCTCTGTGCGGGAATCTCCCCGCTTTGCCCTCCGCACCCCTGTTGCTGTGCTGTCCTCCGCGGCTCCGAAGCTCCCCGCTCCGCCGCCCGCAATCTCTGCCCGCGAAGGGGCTTCCTAGTGTGTGGAGACCTTTCCTCCTAAACAGCTCCCTCCCACTGGTGCAGGTGCTGTCCCTATTCTTTTGTCTCTGTTTTTTCTTTTGCCCTACCCCGTACGTGGGGCGCTTCTTGCCTTTTGGGAGGTCTGAGGTCTTCTGCCAGCGTTCAGTAGGTGTTCTGTAGGAGTTGTTCCACTTGTAGATGTATTTCTGGTGTATCTGTGGGGAGGAAGGTGATCTCTGCGTCTTACTCTTCCACCGTCTTCCCCTAAAATCTTAATGACATTTTGAATGAAACTTTTACATTTGATACTTTCTCTCTTGCCCCTACATACTTCAGTGGAATGCAAGTACAAGTAATTCTTCATATTTAATGAGGGGGTTCACAGCTAGTCCATTTTAAATGCCAGGATTAAAATCAAATTTGAAGTTCATATTTTATAAGATTACTTTTTTTAGGCTTTCAGTAGGGATTGTAATTGTATTGTCTGGAGATGAGGCAGACCATACCTGCACATAAGATTCTCGTGACAAGCTCATTCAGGGGCTTCAGGTGTGGCCGAGTGGAGATCTTAGCTAGGCCCACGGTGTTGCGGAGCCCCTTCTGTCATCATGGCATCCTTTAGTTCCAGGAGTAGGACACTCACTAATGGAGAGCTCCAAGATGAATCCAGCTGCAGGACACCCATCTGGTGATCCCGTGGACCACCTTGTGTAAAACGGTGCCCCACAGGCCCGTATGTTCTACTTTGAGACAAAGATGAGTTATTTGTATTGTTTCATTCTGCTCTTTTTAGGGTGTCTTTAAGAATCATATAGTCAAACCCTCTCTAACGCTTAAATTTTGGCGACTTTAACATTATTTTTAAAACCACAATTGTTACTTGTAATGTATATAGGTTTATCCTTTTATTTTTGCTTTGTTAGGACTTAACAGGTCTGGAACACGTGTTAATAAATTGTTCGAAAATGCTTCCTGCTAACATCACTCAGCTAAACAACATCCCGCCAACTCAGGAAGCGTACTATGATCCTAATCTGGTGAGTGCCATGGGTTCTTTTATGTAAAGTAGAAAGTATATCCTTATCGGGTGTTAGTTACATCATTTCTGTAGAGCACTTCAAAAACTAGAAGCAGGCTCTGTTTATAGGTCTTTGGTGGAAATCAGTAGCACAGATAATCCAGAATCATTCATATTTTTCTTTGGAATATCTTTTTTTCCTCCCTAATGGATGTTAAGCTAATACTGCGATTAGTTGCTTATATTCTATAAGCAGACATCCTGTTCACTAAGGGTAGCGGAAGATAGCACCAGAGTATATACTCACTGGCTTGGGAGAACAATCCTGAGGTTAAACATCAAATGGAATCCCATCTTTCATCAAAGCTCAGTTGATTTGATGCTGGCACTTTCTGGATCTTACCACTAGGGGCAGTGGATGACCTATACACAAGTATATCAGAGTAGCATTTGGCTGAAATGATTGGAAGACTTTGTTGATTGTAAGATGCATCCCAGCTTCAGAGAAATGATAATGTGGGGAAAAAAAGTGCATTTAGAATTGATGGACCAAGGATATAATACAGCCATTATGTGACGCTTACAGTTAATTTTTACTGATATATATGGAAGAATGTTTATAAAATAAAATTAGGTGGGGAGAAAATGGGTACTGCCATATACAGAATATGGTTTGAACTATGGAAAACTCCTGATACCTTCACACACATCCCCAAAATTAATGAAAATGATAGTAGGTTAAATCATAGGTAGTTTTCTTTTTTTAAACATCTTTATTGGAGCATAATTGCTTTACAATGGTGTGTTAGTTTCTGCTTTATCACAAAGTGAATCAGCTATACATATACATATATCCCCATATCCCCTCTTACATCTCCTTCCCACCCTCCGTAACCCATCCCTATAGGTGGTCACAGAGCACCGAGCTGATCTCCCTGTGCTATGCGGCTGCTTCCCACTAGCTATCTGTTTTACATTTGGTAGTGTATATATGTCCATGCCACTCTCTCATTTCATCCCAGCTTACCCTTCCCCCTCCCCGTGTCCTCAAGTCCATTCTCTGCATCTTTATTCCTGTCCTGCCCCTAGGTTCTTCAGACCTTTTTTTTTTTAGATTCCATATCTATGGGTTAGCATACAGTATTTGTTTTTCTCTTTCTGACTTACTTCACTCTGTATGAAAGACTGTGTCCATCCACCTCACTACAGATAACTCAATTTCGTTCCTTTTTATGGCTGAGTAATATTCCATTTGTGTGTGGTGTGTGTGTGTGTGTGTTTTGTTGTTTTTAGTTCATGCAGCGTGCAGTCTTGTGTCTGGCTTTTTTTTTTTTTTTAACATAGGTAGGTCTTTTTAATATAAATTTATTTATTTTTATTTTTGGCTGCATTTGGGTCTTCGTTGCTGCACATGGGCTTTTCTCTAGTTGCAGCCAGCAGGGGCTACTCTTTGTTGCGGTGCGCAGGCTTCTCATTGGGTAGCTTCTCTTGTTGCAGTGCATGGCCTCTAGGTGCATGGGCTTCAGTAGTTGTGCCACTCGGGCTCAGTAGTTGTGGCACTTGGGCTCAGTAGTTGTGGCTCACAGGCTCTAGAGCACAGGCTCAGTAGTTGTGGCGCATGGGCTTAGCTGCTCCGCGGCATGTGGGATCTTCCTGGACCAGGGCTCGAACCCATGTCCCCTGCATTGGCAGGTGGATTCTTAACCACTGCGCCGCCATGGGAAGCTCCATAGGTAGTTCTTAATATCGTTTTTTCACACTAGTATTTTCCATATTTTCTATAATGAATAGACTACACTTTCGTAAGCATAATAACATGTATTTTAAAAAAACTGACCATCTTGCAAATGTTCAAGCCCTATAATTCACTGCAGATGTTTGTAAATGAATGTAGAGAAGAGTAATGAATCAGTTAAAAATCTGATTCCTGAAAGAAGGCAGTCATTCGTTTTGCATTCCTTGCACACGGCAGGGACGGTATTTCTCACTTGTATCCTCGGAGGGTCCCGGGGAGCTCCCTCATGAGGAGACAGTGTGAGGGGCAGCCCAGCAACTTTAGGAACCTGTAGACAAACTGTAAGTCTTGCTGATCATGCATTGGTTAGTTTAGCATATGACATGGGTTTGTATACAAATGTGTCACTTAAAGCCAGTTCTCTAAATATTCTAAAACTTAAAACTATGAAATCAACAAAACTGAGGTAGAGGTATAAGACCTGGTGCCAGCCCTAAGGGAGTTTGCTCTAGTGGGGTAAACAGGCATGAATCAGCAGCTGGAGACTAGTTCTGGGTTGTGGGTTCTCGGGAGGCCTCGTATGGAGCTGATGCGCAGTCAGGCTGATAAGAGAATGGCAGCTTGTCTTGTGAGCTGCAGCAGCTTCTTCTGGGTCTTTGGCACAATCCAGTAAAAATGCTTTGTCAGACCCAGACTGTTATACAGAGATGTTAGTAGTTCTTTACAAGTGTGTTCTTAATGATTAAAAAGGCACATTTGTAATCACTGTAGATTGCATAGGCTAAAAGACATTCTCAGTTTTAGGACTTTTCAAACAACGATAAAGCTCTTTTCTCTTTTCCCCAAATTTGGAGTTACCCCAACAAAGTTAATATAATCAACTCTAAATCATCCAGAGGTCAGTGTCCTGGTTTAAAGATTTTTTTTATGTATTTGTCAAAATAAAGTTCTAGCAGTTATCAGAGATCTGGGTACACCCTTTCTCCAGGAGGGGGACAGTGAGCTGAGGGTTCCAGGCTGCCCTGACTTGTCTTTTCTGGTATCTTCTTGGTGGGCAAACCCAGAGCACTGGACAGAGGAGGAAGAAAGGAGAAAGTGTGCTGGGCTCCTAAACCATCTCCGCTCAGCCTCTGCCCTGGACCAGGCCTCTCTGGTCTTCACTCTCTTCAGGACCACGTTGTGATCGTGCTGCCAGGTTGCCTTAGAGGCTACTGACGTCACCCCAGGTTCAGGGAGCTTTGCGAGTGGCTCAGCCTGTTTCAGTGCTCGCTCCAGACTTGTCTTTCACCATCGGTATTTCCACATCCGTCCTTTCACTTGTCTTTCCTTCTCTATAAACTTTGGTTTCCTAGTAAGATTTTACAATTACCAACCCCTTGCACTTGTATAGAACTTAGAGAAGAGTGTTCTTTTCTAAGGAAGACGATCTATGCGTAGAAAACAGTTATTCATCTTTCTCTTTTACAGGCATGATGAAAGGTTCTTGAGGGATTTTAGGGCTTTTTTTAAAGAAATGCACACATATTCATCTATTAGAGTATTTTATTCTTTTACCAGATATCTGGCATGAGGTTTAGAATCAGCAAATATCCTTTGAATGCTAAGGATTAAGTAAGTAGGGGCTGCTTTGCTAATGGTTATAAGTTAGTCTTGAGGCTTATGCAAATAAAGCTGTTTAGAGCATAAGTACTAATTATACAGACAGCATTAGTTAACATTACTCGAGTGAACTCTTAGCCAAGGTGTTGGCTTTATTACTGTAATTAACTGTGATTACACACAGGATAAAGTATTTTCTAATTAGACTATAAGAAGGACAGCTTAGTTTATGAGTATCATATAGACCATTTCATTACAGTTTATCTTCGAAATTTACTTTCATTTTGAAAAAATTATAGCAATCACTTATAAGACTTTTAACAGATAGTGTGTAGTAATGTGTGATTAAAATAAAACTTTATTCATAGTAACAGGCAATTAGCATGTGGGCCATAGTATGCCAATTTGATTTTTTAAAATATTACATTAAAATAGTCATCTTGGGCTTCCCTGGTGGTGCAGTGGTTGGGAGTCCGCCTGCCGATGCAGGGGACACG